CACCTCTTTCATTTCTTTTCTCAAATGTCACCCCTCCAAAGAGGGATAGCCTGACCCCCATTTAGTTTTGAATTTAATACTCCATTTCTATCTTGCTATTTCTAATCTGCCTTACCCTACTCTAGTTGAGCTTATAACCAATCCACTCCCCCCCAACTAAATTACTTATTACTTTCTAAAGTACTGTATGATTTTTTTATTTTAAAAGTCTGTGCAAGGGACCTTGCCATTTGTTCATATATATTCACATGTATCCCATGGAACTGTGACTGTCACAAATGGACCTATGTGTTGAAGGAATAAGAGGATGAATTGTTAGATAATCACAACATTCAATATAATATAGGCCCAGGTAGATGCTGACCAGTCAAGAACTGATCTTCACTAGCTGTTCATGGGTTCTAGCTACCCCTCTAAACCACCCTGTGTGAGCTTTGTACCTATTAACTGATGAGCAAGCAGGATATGATTGCAGTCCACTTTTCCTCACCAAATCCTGCTCTCCAAACCCTGGATTGTTCTAGAGTTATTCTTCTTTATGGCTTTGACTGAACTGACACCTCTGTTGTCAACCCTCACACAGATTGCAAAGAAATTCCATCAGCTCTGTGATGTTTAAGTGTTTCATGGCTTACAAGCCCTAGAATAACCTGTAAACAGGTCTCCGAAAATCTTCACACCAATCTCCCTTCCCTATTACCACTATAACTTCAAAATTATTTCCTTTGGAAACCTGGAATTCTATGCTTCTGCCAAAGGAAGGAAACAGAGGGATCCTGACAGCTACCTACCCCACGGGGACGAATGTGAACTCAGACAGAATCCATATCTGCTTTCACCATGGCGTGGCTTCACTCTGTACATGTTGCTGAGGTCACAGTCACAACACTAGGACAAGGAGTAACCCTCTAGCCTGTATTTTTGCATAGGTAGATACCTACCGCTTGCTGTCTGTGAATTCTATGCTAGAAGCATAGAATTCCAGATTTCCAAAGGAAATAATTAGCCCAGGCATTCTGCTTAAAGAAAGAGTTTAGCCCAGGCATTCTGCTTAAAGGAAGAGTTTGCCCACCCATTCATTATGACTTCTGGATTGGAAACAGCAGCAGTAAGCAATGTTGCAGTTCTAGAAAAGATAGTATTTGGTTGGTTCACTCCATGGTAGCTAGGACCTAGGACTTGAGGATTGATTGCGTGGTCAGCATGGAAATATTTCTGAATAACATATGCCATGGATATGGACTTGTCTTGGAAGTCAATATATTCATTCTACAGGGAGCAACCCCTCAAAGATGCTTTGACCATCGGGACTGCAACAAATCAGAATAAAGTGACATCTTAAATTACTTATATAACTTTATTTTCTTATGTCTCCTTGCCCTACCCCAGAATGTTCATCTCACCCTGGGTTGTGGTAGAGTTTGAAGACAGAAGATTTCCCCAAGGCTGGATGGAGCTCCAAGTTTGTTGTTTTAATAAAACAGTGTGGGTTTTAGACATGGCCAGCCCAAGATTGTCACTGACTACCAGGTGACTCTAGCCACTTACTTTTTGTATTTGACCCTGAGTATATTTTTATAAACTTGGCCTGGTGGGCCCTACCTTACTGTACTGTTGCAAAAGTTAGACAGTGCATGAACACAGCCATCCAAGTGCCTGGTACAATTTAGATATTCAAGAATTGGCAGCAGCTCTTATTGCTATGCATTGGGGAGTTTCACGCTCTCTGTCCCTGAGCTCCTTAAGTAACTAAAGTGTCCTAGGACCCACTAACTCAATCCATTCAATCAGAGGCATTCTGGCAAGGAAAGCTGCAGCTTTTCTATTCGTTTTGTGGAAATTCTGCTGGGCTGTGGCCAGTTAAATTTGCAGATTTACATAGCAAGAGGCTCACATTTTATGTCCCATCTGGATATTGCTCAAAGCTCAAGCAATTTATGCAAATGATACAACAGGGAAGACATAGCATCAATCTAAATGCCCAAAAGTAGATGACTGGATTTAATTAAAAGATGTGGTACATGTACACAATGGAGTGTTACTCAGCAATCAAAAAAGATAAAGTCATGCCTTTTGCAGCAACATGGATGGAGCTAGAAGGGATCATGCTTAGTGAAATAAGCCAGATAGAAAAAGAAAAATACTGGATGATTTCACTAATAGCAGGAGCATAAGGGATAGGGGGAAAGGAAAAAAAAAAGCAATTGTAATAAAGAAAAAATGAAAAACAATGAACAACTATATACCAGAGACATTTTATGGGGGTGGCGTGGGGAATGGGATCAAAAATGGGGTGGGAAAGATGCACGGGACTATGGTGATGGCACACAAGTGAATTGATGGTGGGAAGTTCACAGGGATTACATTCGAGATAGAAAAAGGCACAAAATGAAGAATGATGTAAAAATAGTTTAAAAAAATTTATGTAAATGAAATAATGAATATTTTCTTTTTCTTAGCCATTTTCCAGAGCCCCTTTTCCCTGCCTCTCCCTCAGCCCTGTCATTTATTTCACAGCCACAAGAAATCCTGCCCTTGTTCAGCCTTTACCCAATGAAATAAAGGTTAACTCTTTGTAGTACCAATATAGTGTGTTGTAGGACTAGGGGTAATGAGACACAGGAAACTTCCAAGTCAAGAAGTGAACTTTTTGTACATCCCTGTGGAGCCTCCTGCCTGAAGCTTTCAGGATTCCAAGTCATGTCTTTTATAGTGCAACTTGAGGTTTATGCCCACTTTCTCTGGTCTTATACTGGCTTCTACTGGTTCTCCAGCTGAATGAAGCTTCTTGGCCCAAGCCTGAAAACAACCATTTTATTTGGCTGATTATTTCCACCAGAACTCAAGAAAACATGGGTTTGGGAAGGTTATTATTTCTTCTCTTGAACTAGGTGGCACTTCCTGTGAAATGGGGAGTAGTCTTACTGCCCTAGCAGAAATATGTGGCAAGCCTTTAGTACAGAAGAGATGTTCAATAAATCTTCGCTTTGCGGGCCCTTTCCCTTGCCAGCTGACTGACCTGAAACTGAATGACTTCTTTGAGCCCCTTTCTGTAAAAGGGGATGAATTAAGTTGCCCTACTTCCCAAAAGAGTTGGAAGCTGCACTTGAGTAACTAAGACCGGTCCCACTGACCTCACACATTTCTGTTGAACACATACACCTGAGAGTGCTTTAGTTGACAGAGACAACACCAGCTTGCCCTGTGGGAAAGCATTCTGGACTTGCAGGGAAAGGTCATAGGGGTCTAGGATCTATCACTTGCCATCCCTGTGGCTCTAGGCAGGACACTTACTTAGTAATCTGAACCTCAAACTCACAACCCACTACCCCTGGAGATGGTATTGGCAAACATGCTCCCCCATCCAGCTCAAGCAACATGTCTTTGAATTTTTACAGCCTCAGTAGCCATCATACTGCCTAAATCATAGAAGGCCTTCGCTAATGTCTTGCCTGAGGAATGAAAGTGGACCTGCTGAGCAGGGTCATAGTTCCTACTTTTGCTTGAACCCTCAGCTTTCATGCTGATGTTTATGGGACCCTGGACCTTTGCTAGAAAGTCACTTACTAGCCTATCTTGGCCCCAGTGACTTTACCTTGCACACAGTTGGAAGCAAGTTGAGACTGGAGGCAGAGAAAGAATGTACCCTGCTGACTCTTTTATGTGAGGTAGCCGCTGTTCCCTGTGAGGCCCATAAGTCTAGGTGAGACTCCCTTTCTTGGTATTCCTTCTACTAGGACTTAGGCCATACAGGTTTGGACTCTAGGAACAAATGTGGTAAGCTTTGTGGTTGACCAGAGTTGCTAAGAATGTGACAGGACTCCACAGCTCCTGATATGCTGCCGGGGGAAGAAGCCCCTCAGAAGAAAAGGGTTCAGAAGCTCCTGGTGTTAGAATGGATTAGACAGCACTGAGATCCTTAGTACGATGAGGTAAGAAAGTGTGACATCTCCTGGAGGTGGAAAGAAACCTGATGCCACATGACTTAATACAATCTGGACTCACTACACTGAGACCAGAGGAAAGTTAAGAGTCTTAACTCTCAGAGATACCCCACCCTCCTGTGCATGGGCATGCATACACATGTACATCCTCACCCCCACACATAACCCTACGTACTTTAGAAACAATCTGTGCACACTAACAAAATCTAGCTGAGAGAAGTGCCAAGTTACCTTACACAGATTGAACCTTATTTCTGGCTCATCTAAGAACTTATGCTTTGGGGGGAAATCCTTTTTCTTATTCCAGGATTACTATTATTATTAATCATTTTCATTCTCATCAAAATCAACTGGAACTCCCAACTTTTGTCAGTCTAGCCCTTGCTCACCTCTTCCCCACTCCATTTTCTTTTCTCTTGACTCCCCTTGATCTAATCTTAATAGCTCGGTGAAGAATTTGCTTTTTCCCCTTAAGGCCCATGCTGCCTTTAGTGTCTCCATATTTACTCCCTTCCTCATCTCCATTATTATTTCAGACTTAAGGTTTTCATCTCACCAGGAATTTTCTGTCTCGTCTTTTTAGATTCTGCAGTATATTACAATGTCTTTTCTCCTTCAACCTTTCTTATCTCAAGCTGATTTCAGAGTATTTTCCATTTCCACAGCATCCTATGATGTTCCTTTCCTCTTGCCAATGTCCCCACCCTTGTGCTGGGTTAAATATCAAAAAATTGCCTAATACAAATATTTTCATACTGTGCTCTGATGTCCCTTTCAATTTCCCACAAGTTTACTTAAAATTATCTTGGATTTTCACAGCACCCAAGATCTTTCTCTTTCCCACCCCATCAGCCACATAACGTTTTCTACGTTTTCATGGCATGCCATGCTTGCTCCCTATTACACATTTACCACAATTTACATATTTGTCTGTCCATGTAACCTAGAAAATTCTTTAAAATTGATGGCTGTGTGCTAAGGAATATCCCCAGAATCTGCACTGGCATCTTACACATAACTAATGTTTACTTAATAAATGAACAAGGTGTCCTTGTCATTATGCTTTTATTTTTTTTCTATATTCTGTAGTAACTAAGCAAAATCAAAGTAAATATCGGTCTTCTTACACTACAGCAGACACAATGGCTTTCAGAAAGGCCAAGTACAAACCAAATCCCCTGTCCTTTTACCTTTTCTGCATATTTCAAACTTTAAAATAACACCCTATTTCCATGATATAAATTACTAGATCACTGAATATGACAGTAAGACTTCATTTTATAACATTAGCAATACTATTATACTAAATCTCAATGAAGGAAAAAAAAACCCTCTTGCTTCAGTTATATTTTAAACATAGTGTGACCTTAATCAACCTCATGTATTAAAACGAATAAAATTTTACAATATCCAAAGCAAACTCTCCTTTTTGCAAGTTAAACATTAGCACTTATCACAAATATCAAATACAATCAAATATCCCCCTTCCCAGGCATTTACAACTCGGGACCCAGGTTATCTAATCCTTGGGGTACCTTTGTTGCTCTTTCCAAATCCCCCCGAGGGTTTTTCCCAAATTTACCTAAGGCACAGAGTAACCCCCTGCACCTGAATTGAGGATAGCCTCAACTTCTGCATCATCGTCTGAATCCCAGTCGTAATTACACGGCCAGTCCTTGGAGCATCGGTTGCGCACTCTCGCCACAAAATGCATGACTTTCAGCTTGCTTGATTCCACATGTGCTCTAGGTCCCCAGAAGAACTCATACTCCACGGGACTGCTACGAGGCACCGGCTTATAAATCAGGTACCCTCTACGCACAAATTCTTCCGTGACGACCTTCTTTGGATCTCCAAAGATGCTGTGCTGCCGGCCAGGCTGCATCCCCAACTTCCCCAGCACTTTCCAGACCAGGGCCTCCTTGGCGCTGTTGCCCATGATGAAGATGAGAGCTAATATGGACATCAGGAGACTTTTCTTGGTTCCCTGAAAATTGCTCCGGGCTACGGAGGGCTTTTGAGCTTGAGCAGAGCTTGAGGCTTCCTCAGGAGTGGTGGACGTCTCCTCCGGAGTGGTCGGGTCTTCCTCAGGGCCGTTTAGTTCGTCCCCGGAGGTGTTCGGGACCTCAGAGGCTGCCACCCGAGTCTCAGAGGTTTCTGAGGCCTGGATCTTACGATTATTGCGGTTCTCTTCTGCAGCCCTAGCGTTGCGACGGCGCCTACTCTTCCGTCCCCTAGGCATGTCTCCTGCTAGGTGCAGAGTCTACAGCAATCCTAAGAAGGATGTCTGTAGTCTCTGCTGAGCGCAACTATCTCTACCTTTACAGGGTGCAGCTGCAGACGCCACAAACGTCAACAGTCTTTGTAGCAACGAAACAGATGTTCTCAACCACAAAGCTCACTCCCACGCAAGCCGACTGCAGCAAGCAACCACCGCCTGCACTCACCCCACCCACAAGCGCGCAAGGTTTAGCTAACTTGGCTCCGCCTTTCCTGCCACGCACTCACCTAACTCCAAAGAGGAAGTGGGCGGTTCCTCCACCCAGACTTCCGCTGTCACTTATGAAAAGGAGCAGACCACTGCAAGGGTGGGAATAGGGGAGAAAAGACTGCTAGGGATTCCCGAGGGCGGGGGGAATGCAGAGGAGAAATAAACGGCTTAGAATTCCTGTATTTTTCAGTCAAGGCTGGGATGTCTTGGGAAGGACTGTGTCTCTATTCCATTGCCATCGAAGCAGGCTGAATGGGGGGGGGGGTAATTTATTTTTTAGGGATGGGCTTGGAGGTAGGAGGGAAAGGTTATTCTTGCTAGAAATTAACTAATCCAGGTCTTCTTTGGTGTCATGAGAACACAACATTCATTCACTTGCTTTGATTACAGAAGCTGGCTACGTGTATACTAATTTATCCGCGAATCTACCTAGTACCCAGGAAAGATAGTTGTGACTGAAGGACTGGGTAACGAGAGCAGATGGCTCGTAAATGCTACCAGTATGCCAGGAATGGCAGCTTTTAAAATGTTAAATATTCACAGTGTTATCAAACTGTGCACCCATTGCAACAGATTTGCATTTGTACAGCTGCACTGAAGAAGTAGCTATTGTCTAGCAGGCCACCTAGGAAGCAATTAAAAAAGAAACAAAGGAGAATATGATTGGGTCTTAAGGTGGCTGCCAAGGGGATAGAAAAATTTAAAAAGGCATTTCAGATGTGATCACTGATTAGCTTTAGGAACTGACTCTATGGAATTTGGAGGGGAAGAGAGGTTGATGGAGTGCAGGTTGGCTCCACGGTCTCTACACTCCAATCTACCTGAATATCTACTCCAATCTACCTGAATATCTGATTTATTTCTCGTCGTCTTTTTCACTCCATAATCTAAATCTAATTTAGAGCAAACTCTGAACATTATTAACTCTGGGTCTTTGATCACTGTTTCCAGTGCCTGAAATGCCTTTTCTCGCTCATCTTCAACTATTTAAATTTCATATTCCTGTTCAGAGACCTATTATTCCCTAAAATTTTCCTTGTTTTCCCCAAAAAAAGTAGTCAGGCAATTTTTGTTTCCCTGAGGGAGAAGGCTGTTACATACATTCTGTATCTTATGGAATTACAAGATAATATCTTGCATAAATAATTTCACATCATTGAGTCTTTGTCCTCTCAAGAATTTATATGGTTGTGATAATGAAATGAGATAATAAATAAATAATGGTTATCACAAAGAAAATATGGATTTTGCCTCTTAAATGTTTCAAGAAGTATTTAAGAGTGGACTTTAATAAATACATATAGAAAATAAATGCTTGGATTACTGAGGGTATTGTGGGGACAAGAGATAAGGCAAAGATAAAATAATAAATTGTCAGATTCATGGGAGCAATAACAAGTGAATATGAAAAAATACTTTTGACACATGAGCCACATATACATAGTTGTCATGCCACTTGTAGAATTTTGACAGACATAAACCATCCTCAAACAAATGTTAGAAATGGAAAATGACTCCAATTTAAAATACTTACAGAAAGAAATTTGAAAGAAGAAGATGTCTTCCTGATATCTTAAAACATAATTTATTTTTTGAAAGTCACTTTTTTTGTGCTTGCTGGAGGACCTATAAGCAAATTATATACACAGTACTGTGCTATTCTGGTAAGAATGTTGAGAGTAGGGTACTTGAAATTTTCTTAGCAGAAGAGACAGTAATTACTAACTCTCATATGTAAGCTTAGAGAAAATAAATAAGGTACAAAGAGATTTTGAGGCATCAGAACCAAAGGCACAAGGCCACGGTAATATAGTAAAGGAAACTCTCTCCATCTAGGAACTCCTGCCTCATTTCAACATCCTGCTATGTCTGAAATCCATTTCCCTGGAACAAAGGATGACAATATTTCCCCAGTGCCCCACCAAATAGCACACCTCTCTTCATTGCTGTACTAGTGGTAGAAAAGAATGCTGACAGATAACTTCTCAAAACTCTGTGTCTGTACCTCTGTGTGTGTGCTCCTGTGTGTTTGTGTGTAGTTGGGATGGGTCCTTGTAAATGGGAAGTGGTATGGTGTTCCATTATAAAGAATATATATACTGAGTTCCATTATAAAGAATATATATACTGAGTAGTGTGTGTGTGTGTGTGTGTGTATACACTACTAAAATGTACACAGCTACTAAAAATGACATAATATTGCCTTTTGGGACAAAATGGGTGGGTATTATCGAGCTAAATGAAATAAGTCAGAAAGTGAGACAGTTACTGAATACTTTAACTCATTTGAGAAAGTTAAATAACCAAAGAAAACAAAAGTGGGGAAGCACAACAAGAATAATTCTTACACACTATGAAAAATACATTGGTTACCTGAGGGAATGGAAGAAGAAGAGGGGTTAGTGGAAAGAAGGGGCTCAATAGAAATAGTGGAGTTTTGGGAGGATGAGTTGTTCACACATGTTCCCATATGGCGGTGTGAAGCTCTTATGAAGTTCTCCCAAGAGTCCAAGAAAGAAAAAATAATGAAGCTGATGAGGTGGAAGAAACAGATAACATACAAAAGAAAACCATTTAGGTCGATATCAGGCTTCTCTGGAAAAAGCCCTATGGATAAGAAGAGGACAGAATAACATATTAAAAATCTCCAAAACTGAAAACCCCAAGCAAGAATACATTATCCTGCAAAGCTCTCCTTCCTTTATGAGGGGAAATATAAGTTTCTCAGACAAAAACAACAACAAAAACAAACAAACAGTGTTTAGAAATTAGCTACTACCCAACACCCACTCCGGGAAATATTACAAGAAGCCTTAGGACCTTGGGATCTAAACTACAGAGGAATAAACATAAAGAGTCTATTAGAAATTGAATAGAGCCACAGAACAATGGACAAAAGGCAGTAATAGAATTGGAAATACAGTAATTACCCTAAATGCTAATGGGCTAAACTCACCAGAGAAATAACACAGAGTGGCATGTTGGATTAGAAACCAGAATCCAACCTGCTGTCTCCATAAAATACACATAAGATCCAAAGATAAACGTGGAAGTATTGTGTTGGCAGTTGCTTTTCCCTAAAAAATGACAAGAGGCCACATGGCTATCAAATTGCACATGACATAGCGGACATCCATGACTCCCATTGATGAAATGAATTTTCAGAAGGACTTGAGCAACTGTGCTGAATGCCTCCAAATGGTCAAGTGAGAGAGATAAAGGCTAAAATATGATCACTGAATAAATGGACACAAAAGCCATTGTTACCTAATTAACAACCACGGAGTTTCTTTCCTTAACATATATCTTAGGTCATCCTATTGTTATTCATAACAGCAATAATAAGTAACTTCCCCTGTCATTAGTAATGTGCATTAGCTGTAGGTTGTAACTCTCATTAAGGTTCCCACTGTAGGAAGGAGGCATACGAGATTGTGACAGAATTAGGAACTGTCCTGGTATCAAATCCCTGAGAAGTGAGAGAGTGAAGGATTTTTGATCCACCTCTCTGATGCCACAGACATTGCTCTTTTTTTCCTGAGTCATTGATGATGATGTTCCCATAACCACCACCCCAACGTACAGGTTTTCCTATCTAGATGAATGGAGCATGCTCCTTCCTGACTTTATCCAGGCTCTCGCCTCTTCTCATCCAACTGTACATATCATGTGGACATAAGATGTTTCTCGTGAGGGGATCCCCAATCATTTTTCACAACAAGAACATGCTCCTTATGGATGGCATCAAGCTTCTTGCTAGCTCAGTGGGTGTAGCTGTTTATAGAAGGCCCCCAAAAGTGACTCAAGTAGATGAAAGGAATGAATGAATGAATACAAATATGAGGCAACCAGACTGTGGAGCATTTTCACATCGTGAAGTAGTCTTCTTTATATAGTAATTGCATGGTATTCAATGTAGCACAGTTTCCAATAATAAACTGCACATATTATTTTTTAAAAAAGAAAAATAAATTTTAAAAAGCAAGTTTTCTCAGCTTCTCTCAGCCAGGGCCGTTAAGCGTGTTGAAGATTCAGGCTCAGTTTGCTGAAGTTGAGCTTTTTCTGACCCTGTGGATCCAGCCCCGTGGTGCCTGCACACATCTGCGTGCACATAGCATGCAGGTGTCCACTCACTTACATATGCACCAACATTTGCTTCTCAACACTCTTCTAGCTTCTGACTCTATGTGGAGATTCTGACAGTGTTCCCTCCGGTGAGCGCATCTACTCAGCACCTTTCTAGTCTGGACTTAGCATACGTTAGCTCATGTACGTTGTACACCTTTCCTGAAGATCTATCACTCTCATTTCCATCTTGTGGGTGTGGGAGCCTGACTCATAGGTTTCTTACACAGGTACGAAGCACAGACACAGACAAGGAATAGGATAATGGTGACCAGTTCTTGAATGGTGTCTCTGTGTCAGGTATTTTTCATACATTATTCACCTTCATCCCCACAGTGCCTCAACCAGGTTGTTACTAGTATGCCCACAATTCTGCAGATGAGGCTTGCTAGACCTAACAGGAATATAGAACTGCTAGACTGCAGGGCCTGGGACCAAGCCCAAGTTTGGTAAAGCCCACATCCCATGACAGTACTGAGGTGTGGGAGTAAACTGAAGGAGCAAGAACTGCTTTTGTGAAAGACTAAAAAGTATACAGGACAACTGAGGGAACCCAGGTGACATAACCCCACTCTTTGGCCCAGAGCACTCACAATCCTGTGTGGCTCTGAAGCTGGGGTTGTCTACTGGCCAGGTGGTAATGCCTCTTGACTCATAGAAACCCTAAAGGCTTTGAAAATAATTAATAATTAGCCATTATTACATTATTAGAAAGGGTAGTGCAGTCCAGGAAAATCATAGTGTTAGTTGTTGCAATTCTGCTTGCCCCAAGTATGTCCTTGAGGTAATGTCGGGCTATGATTGGCGAGAACTTTCTTTAGACTAGCACCTAGGTGGTCACTAGTGAAATTCATGAAATCAAAAAATCAC